GCTTGTTTGTTTGTTTGTTGTTTTTTCTTTGCATTTATCGCACATGATATTGATGCCTTTGGCTATTGGGATGTCACTTCGACTGTCGTCGAAGTATAATCTCGTCGTAGTTCAAATGAGGTCAAACTTACATTGTCGTCGACGGCCTTATCCATAGGGATGTTACTTCAAACCGTCATTAAAGTAGAATACCATCGCGGTTCGAGCGAGGTCGAATTGATATTTTTGTCGATAGCCTTGGCCATAGGGATGTTGCTTCGAAGTGTCGTCGAAGTAGAATCCCCTCGTGGTTCGAACGAGGTCGAACTTATATTTTTATTGATGGCCTTGGCCATTGGGATGTTGCTTCGAACTGTCGTCGAAGTAGAATCTCGTTGTAGTTCGACTGAAGTCGAACTTAAATTGTTGTCAAGGGCCTTGGCCATTGGGATGTTGCTTCGAATTGTCGTCGAAGTAGAATCTCATCGTAATTCGACTGAGGTTGAACTTAAATTGTCGTTAATGGCCTTGTCCATTGGGATATTGCTTCGAACTGTCGTCGAAGTAGAATCCCGTCGTGGTTCGACTGAGGTCGAACTTAAATTGTCGTCGGTGGCCTTGGCCATTGGGATGTTGCTTCAAACTGTCGTCGAAGTAGAATCCCGTCGTGGTTCGACTGAGGTTGAACTTAAATTGTCGTCGATGGCCTTGGCCATTGGGATGTTGCTTCGAATTGTCATCGAAGTAGAATCGTGGTTCGAATGAGGTCGAACTTAAATTGCCGTCGATGGCCTTGGCCATTGGGATGTTGCTTCGAACTGTCGTCGAAGTAGAATCTCGTCGTGGTTCGACTGAGGTCGAACTTAAATTGTCGTCGATGGCCTTGGATATTGGGATGTTGCTTCGAACTGTCGTCGATGGCCTTGGCCATTGGGATGTTGCTTCAAACTGTCGTCGAAGTAGAATCTCGTCGTGGTTCGACTGAGGTCGAACTTAAATTGTCGTCGATGGCCTTGGCCATTGGGATGTTGCTTCGAACTGTCGTCGATGGCCTTGGCCATTGGGATGTTGCTTCAAACTGTCGTCGAAGTAGAATCTCGTCATGGTTTGACTGAGGTCGAACTTAAATTATCGTCGATGGCCTTGGCCATTGGGATGTTGCTTCTAACTATCGTCGAAGTGGAATCCTATCGTGGTTCGACTGAGGTCAAACTTAAATCTTTGAAGACGGTCGTATTCCCGTAGGAAGACATCACATGTCGATTAGTGGAGATCTGGTTCCGCACATACAATGGAGATTTGATTCCGTAAATATAATGGAGATTTGATTCCGTACATACAATGGAGATGTGATTTTGTACATACAATGGAGATTTGATTATCTATATATAGTCCCTTTATTACTTCGATCTAGAGATCACATTGACGGGTCGATGTAATGAACAACACGTTGCTCCTTAATGCGTCCCCTTTACCGCCTCGTTAAAAACCTCCCCGGGAAAACCTGATTGGGACAAAACTTGGGTGAGGAAAAAAAAGTATGACTTAGGTGACATCTTTTAGAAGTGGAAATACTTGAGATAGGCGACGTTCCAGTTGTTTTGGAGCAGTTTTCCCTCCATTATTTCTAGCTGGAACGCTCCTTTGCTTCCAGCTGTTATGATTTTGTATGGTCCGTCCTAGTTCGTCCCCAATTTTCCCTCATTAGAGTCTTTTGATGCTTGTGTTTTGTCCTTGAGGACGTAGTCGCCAACTTTGAGTGGTCGCACCTTGGCTCTCTTGGTGTAGTATCTGTCTACTTGCTGCTTTTGGGCTACTATTCTTATGTGGGCCATGTCTCTTCATTCTTCAACTTCATCCAGATCTTGTAGCCTACTTTCGTCGTTGCCTGTTCCGCTCTCGTTGGAGTATCTCAAGCTGGGATCCCCGACCTCGACGGGTATAACTACGTTGGTCCCATAGACCAGTGAGTATGGTGTTTCTCATGTGCTGGATTTTAGCGTAGTGCGGTATGCCCATAATACTTCAGGTAGTAGTTCAGGCCATAGCCCTTTAGCTTCTTTTTCAATATGTTCAGTATTACTTTATTGGAGGACTCGGCTTGGCCATTGGAGGCAGGGTGATTTAGCGTGGAGAGTATTCGTTTGATGTGCCACTTTTCAAAAAACCCAGTCGTTCTTTTTCCGACGAATTGAGGTCCGTTGTAACAGCTTATTTCCTTGGGGATGCCAAAACGGCATATAATGTTTTTCCATATGAAGGCGATGACTTCCTGCTCACGTATCTAAGTGTATGCACCTGCTTCCACCCATTTAGAGAAGTAGTCAGTTAAAACCAAAAGGAAGCGTACCTTACCTCATCCTGCTGGGAGGGGGCCGACTATGTCCATTCCCCATTTTATGAATAGCCATGGCAAAGTGACGGAATGGAGGAGTTCTCCTGCTTGATGTATCATAGGGGCGTACTTTTAACATTGTTCGCATCTTTGGACATAGTCCGTGGCTTCTTTTTTCATGGTAGGCCAGTAGTTGCTGGTGCGGAAGAGGCATCGAACGAGGGCATGATTTCCCGTGTGGGTGCCGCAATGCCCTTCGTGTACTTCTTCCGGTACTCATCTTGTTTGATGTGGTCCAAGACATTTGGCTAGGAGGTCGTCGAATGTTCTTTTGTAGATATCGTCGTTTACTAGGCTATATCGGGCTGCCTGTACCCGGAGTTTTTTGGCTTCTTTTTTTATCTTGCGGGAGCATTCCATCATGTAAATAGGCTATGAAGCAGTTAAGCCAGTCCCAAGTTAGGTTTATAGAATGTACCTCGACATGATCTATTGTAGAATGAAGGAGGGTGACCACGTTTTCTTTGTTGATAGTCCTGGTGGCCGCAACTAATTTGGCGAGGCCATCTGCTTCAATATTCTGCACCCTGGGTATTTGGTCGAGGCGGCATTCATCGAATTCTGGCAGCAGTTTGTGGATTTCCGAATGGTATCTTTGTAGTCTCTGCTCTTTGATTTGGAAAGTCCCGGTGACTTGATTCACAACGAGTTGAGAGTCACAGTGGAGGACGAGTCGTCGGGCGCCGTATTTGAGGGCTAACTTCAACCCTGCAATCATAGCCTCATATTGGGCCTCGTTGTTAGTCATCTCGGGGCATCGTATGGACTGGCAAATTTCTTCGCCCGTAGGAACCTCGAGGATGAGTCCCAGTACAGATCCCGAGGCATTGGAGGCACCGTCGGTGTAGAGGATCCAGAGGTCAGTATGTATAGAAGTGCGGAGTGCTTCTTGTCCTGCCTCGGGCAATGTCTCCATGCTGAAATCAGCGACGAAGTCGGCGAGCACCTGCGACTTAATGGCAGTTGACGGTTGGTATGTTATGTCGTGCTCGCTTAATTCTATGGCCCACTTGGCAAGTCTACCCGATAGTTTGGGTTTGTGCAGGATACCTCTTAGGGGGAAGGTTGTTACCACTTTTATGGGGTGACATTGAAAATATGGTCTAAGCTTTCGTGAAGCCACGACCAGTGCCAGAGCTAGTTTTTCAAGGTGAGGGTACCTTGTCTTGGCATCGATTAAAGTTTTGCTGATATAATAAATTGGAGATTGCGTACCTTTGTTTTCACGGACCAAGACTGCACTCACTGCAACTTTAGAAACTGCTAAATACACAAGCAGACACTAACCTGGATCCGCTTTGACGAGTAGAGGTGGCGAAGACAGATACGCTTTTAGTTTTCTTAGTGCATCGACAAATTCCTCGTTCCATTGCAGCCCGTTGTCTTTTCTCAACACATTGAAGAATTTGTGGCATCTGTCCGATGATCGTGAAATGAACCTTGATAAGGTGGTTATTCGCCCTGTTAGCTTCTGCACCTGCTTTTTGCTGGTTAGTACCTCTGGTATTGCGTCGATGGCTTTGATTTGATTCGGGATGACTTTGATTCCCCTTTGCGACACGAGGCAGCCAAGGAATTTTCCTGAGGTTACGCCGAAGGTGCACTTCTCGGGATTTAACTTCATCCCGTACTGCCTTAATATTTCGAAGGCTTATTTCAAATGGCCAATGTGATCCTCCTTCTTTGTTGACTTTACCAGCATGTCATCGATGTAGACCTCCATGGTCTTGCCGAGCTGCTCTTTGAACATTTTGGTGACTAGCCTCTGGTATGTGGCCCCTGCATTCTTGAGTCCGAACGGCATCACTTTATAGCAATATGTTCCTTGGTGAGTGATGAAGGTTATCTTTTCTTGATCTTCTTCAACCATTAGAATTTGGTTGTAACCGGAGTAGGCGTCCAAAAAGCTCAGCAATTCGTGCCCCGCTGTTGCATCGATCAATTGGTCGATATGGGGTAACGAGAAGGAATCCTTTGGGCATGCTTTGCTTAGATTGATGAAGTCAACACACATTCGCCATTTCCCGTTCTTCTTTTTGACTATGACCACGTTGGCAACCCATTGGGTGTATTTCGATTCTCTAATGGAACCGTTGATGAGTAATTTATCCACCTCTTCGCTGACTGCCTTATTGATTACGACATTGAACTTTCTTCTTATTTGTCGTACCGATGGATAGAGTGGGTCGATATTCAGTCTAAGAGTGGCAATGTCCTTTGGGATTCCTAGCATATCTGAGTGGGATAAGGCAAATAAATCGGCGTTGTTAATTAAAAATTCACGAGACTTACCTGGCTCCGAGAGGTTGTGCCCTATGTAAGCCTTTTTTGTGTTATCAACGTCTAATTGGACGGGGTCGAGATCCTCTATAGTTGCCTTGTAAGCTTCTACGATATCCGGGTCTTTAATGGCCTCTGTTTGTAGGTCGGGTTTAGTTCCCGACATCGCTGATTGCTATGCCTCCGCACTTGCTCCTTTTAGTTGTTTGGTGTAGGTGCAATCTTGGGCGATCCGATACCATTCTTGGGCGGTGCGTGGCTTGCCTCAGATGCTGAATATCCCCAACGGGGTGGGAAATTTGATCACTTGATAGAAGCTTGAAGGGACGACTCACATAACGTGTATCTATGGTCTCTCCATGATGGCGTTGTAGGTTGTTTCCTGGTTCATGACGTGGAATGGTGTCTCCAGGGTGACCCCTCCTGCTAGGACAGGTAGCACTATTTCTCCGGATGTCCACTCTACTGCATTATTAAAACCTGTTAGTGTTATGCAACGCAGTATTATTTTATCCTCAAGCCTCATTTGCATGAGAACTCGCGGGTGAATGATACACACGTCGCTTCCATCATCTACCATGATTCTTTTTACATCTGTATCAACGATGCATAAAGTTGTAACCAAAGTATCATAGTGAGGGGAAGACAAACCATCGGCATCCGACTTATAGAAGATGACACTGTCTTCGAGGTCATCATACCGTTCGTGGGCGATCGTCCGTTTGAGTTTGTGCATGGCGGTGAACTTCACATAGTTGATTACCGTGTCGTCGACACCTCCAATGATCATCTGTATGGTGCGTGCTAGTGATGGTGGCTTTGGAGGTCCTTGAGATGGATCGTTCCCTCGAGCGAAGTTGGCCCTTCCTTTATCGCTGAGCAGTTCTTTTAGGTACCCCTGGTTCAACATCCTAACTACTTTATGACGCAGACCTATGCAATCTTCGGTCTTGTGTCCTCTTTCTTGATGGAATTCACAGAGGACGTTTGACCTCCTGGTGGTTGGGTCCAATTTTATTTTTTGCGGCCACTGCACCTTCATGCCTAGCTTCTCAAGTGCGTAAACTATCTCTGAAGGGGAAACACAAAAGTTATGAGCAGATAGCAGTGGAGGCATACCTCTTTCACTTTGAAGGGGTGCAGTGTGTCGTAACATGGCATCCGTATGTCTTGGAGGGGGCGGGTTAGATGTTCGGACATAGGGTTGATGCCTTTCTCAATTGAAACGTGGTGGTTGATCTCTTCGCCTGTTGTTACGTCGATCTCTCCTTGCCTCGGTCTAAACCGACGTTAATCGCTGGATTGGGTCATTCAGGTCATCCTTATCTGCCCTTACCTCAGCGCAATAGGCGTTCTGGATCTCTTCCCATGTGGTGGGGGATACTTCATGAGTCTACTGAGCAGTTTTTTGGTTGCCTTTGATCCGTTCCTGTTTAACCCATTTTGAAAGGATGCTACTGCCATCCCTTCTGACATATTTGGCAGGCTCATCCTTACTCTGTTGAATCGGGCCAGGAAATCCCGTAGTCCCTCGCCCGCCGTTTGCCTGACGGCGAAGATATCATTGACCCTAGCTTTAGCCTTCTTCGCCCTTGTATGAGCGGTGGCGAATTTATCCGCCATCTTTTCAAACGTTGATATCGATCGCGCTGGTAGCTGGGAGTACCATGTCAATGCTCCCCATGTCAAGGTCTCACCGAACCTTTTTAGCAGCATAGATGGTACTTGTTCCTTTGACAAATCGTTGCCCTTTACCGCAGTAACATAATGGATTAGATGATCCTCCGGGTCCGTGGTCCCGTCGTATATTTTCAAGTATGGTGGCATCTTGAAGGTTTTTGGAATAGAATGAGGAGTAGCCCCGTCGCTGTATGGCTGTTCGACGAATTGACCCACATCGCATTTTGGTAATAGCTTAGGGGGCCCTGGTATTTTGTCAACCCTCTCCTGATGCTCCTTCATTTGATCACGGAGTGTTTTGTTCTCATTTTTCATTTCTTCCATTTTCTTTAAGATAGCCATGAGAGCATCGTCACCTGAATCAGTGACAGTGCGGGTGTTACCTGTTCGCGTAGCGCTCGGCTCATTGGTGGTAGCTACGAATTCTCTAGGTGGCAAGTCTTCGACATCTCCTTGAGGAGGTTTTTTTGAGCATGTTGTTCAAAGCACTTGTCAACCATTCTTCTAGCAGCTTTTTGACTGCTGGTGGTGCTTCCCCGACCGTGGACGTTGAGGCTCCCCTTTTGCGCAAGATCGTTAGATCCCCGTGTGGAAGAGGTGAAATCTCCCCATCCGATGTAACTCTTGGTGTTATATTCTCAGTGTCTTCTCTACCAACTTCGTTGAGGGAGTTCAGGAGATTATTTGAGACATCTGCTATCGCCTTTAGCCTCGCTTCCTTTTCCGCCATTATTGATTTTTATGAGGTTTGAAGAACAATAATCGTCACTTTCAAGAACCTAGATGATAACTACGATTTCAGCTATGGAAATACCCACAAACGACACCAAATTGTTTGACTCAAAAGATATTAAAATCTTTTTTGAACAAATCAATCAAAGATGAAGGGGTAAATCGTAGCTGAAGATAATAAACTCTAGAATGATAACAATAGAGAGAAGAGAGTTGTAAACTTTCTTTTCTTTATAGGTTAGTGAGTTTTTCCCAGTCTCCCCCTGTTACGAGGCTCTTTTCCCTCTTATATACTGAGGAATTCCTTCCAATCGTAGAAACGACATGTAAAGAATCTTTTAAGGAATATTCTCCATATCTCCTAATGGGCTTACGTTACAGCCGAGGTCGTATCGTTCCTTCTTTTACCACAAGGTCGTATCCCTCTGAGCATCGACTCGCGGGTGCTCGGTCGTTTGTCGTGCTCACTGTTGGTCGTGGTCGGTCAAATTCAGACCCATACAGTGTTGTCCCCGGTAAGAAAGTGCGAGCGATTGGGGTTGGAGTGTACGAAGAGAGGTAGAGGGCGATTTAAGAAGTATTAGGGAGAGGTGATTAGGCGGGATATAACGATGCTTCAGATATGCGAGGACATGCCCCTCGATAGGAAGTTGTTAAGGTTGTAGGTTAGGAATTAGTTTAGCATACTCTAACTCGTACCAGTGTGAGGCTAGGCTGATAGGCTTTAGTCTTAGACTACTAGTGGACAATGTTATGTTCACACTACTCTTCCGTTTTCGTAGTGTCGAGTCTTACTTATTGGTTATTATTTTTGCGTACCATCTATTTATTGGTTCTTGTGATATTCTTATTTCTATGTTTTTGTTGATGGTAGTGATATATATGTTTCGTCTTCTTGAGCCGAGATATCAGAAACAGTCTTTCTATATCCGTCAGGGTAGAGATAAGGTTTGTGTACATACTACCCTCCTTATACTCCACTTGTGAGATTTATTATTGTTGAAATAATGCATTTATATAAGATCACAAAGATTTTGTGATTCACGATCTAATTAATCACAATTCAAATAATTCTGACTCAATATATGTACCCGTTCGATCCGGCTCATTCTCATTCATCAGCATTCATATGCTTTAAGTACATTTATTTAACTTATTTATTTTTTAACTTAGTTTAAAGCATAAATAGGTATATTTTATCTCAATCAACGTTTTTCTACATTTTTTTGTACTTTGATTTATTGGAAATGTATATACGATAAGATTAACTTTATTTTAGTTAACTACTCAAACTTGAACATTAATATTTCTTTTGTAGAATGTCTTCTTTCCATAAAATTAGCACTGTGGTATAATCCATAATGTAGTAGATTTTCATTGTAGTAAATATCCCTTATTTTTAGGTTTTATACAAAAAATGTCAAAGTAGTTTGTTCTTAATATGCAATTTGACTTAATATCAAGCTTGACTACCATCATTTTAGGGGGCATTGCTTTCGGTTGTCGTAACAACGAAAGAAAACTCCACATACCAACAAAAAAATTGACCTTATTCCTAGAATGGAATATAGGCATTGGTACAAGAGAAGGCTCGAAAGTCCTCGAGCGTAATATACATTATTATTGGAGAGACTTTAGTCGCATCTTAAACCATGGTTAAAAAATGAGGCAATCAAGAAAATTCTCCCTCAAAAAACTATCTGAAAATCTTCTCTTTCCTTTTCATTACAAACAAAGCCAAGGCGTTACTTTTAACCCTTTTCAAGAACGAAGGCTGTGCTATACTCGATATTAACACTCCCAAATCTGAAAATTCTAACCATAATTTTAATGATAACAGGCGGCAAAAACATATAAAGGTAGAAAGTCTTGAAACTTACACCGTCAATGATTTAATGGGTAAACTTTTCTTATAAAGTGATGCATACGCCTTTATTGACAACCAAAATGGGTTGATGTAAAAGAAAAGGAATATAGATTATGGTAAGATTTTGTACCCATTTATGCCTCAACAACAAGACAGCAATAAAGGGGGAGTGGTTAAGATTTTGATCATATGATATTTTACTTGTTTCTGAATGACATTGATTTCATATGGTTGTCGAGATCTATCCCCACTCTCCTATTCTAATAAGGTTCTAATTAGACATATTAGTACTGTTTTTTCTTTCTCTGTCGAATGTTGATTGGCTGATTTTGACACGTCTTTTGATCAAATTTGTCTCGAGGGATGTAACTCTATTGGTACAACTATGCTTTTGCATTTTGGATTGATGCAGTTATTACGAGCTTGAAGTTTGAGCATGTATCTTAGGACTCATTTGTCCATAGATATTCTTTCTTTGAGTGTTTTTTTTTTTAAAAAAAAAAAAACGTGTTTGTCCATAAAATTTTGCAAGTTTTTTGAAAATGAGTTTTCAAAAATCAAGAAATGGTTTCGCCCACTTTTTCAAAATTTTCAAAAATTTTTATTTCCCCACTCACAAAATTGTAACATTCTTTCAAGCGCAATGCTTGTCCAAACATTTTAAATTTCAAATATTATTTCTCAACCTAACTCCAAATATTATTTTTTTTTCCAAAAATTATAGTTTTTATGTCCAAACGCCTACTTAACTTCTGTTTGACTCAAAAGATATCGAAATATTTTTGAACAAATCAATCAGAGAAGATGAAGGGGTAAATCTTAGTCAGACATAATTAAATCCAGATCAAAGAGCAAGTAGTATGGATTGCATACAGGATAAAAGAGATGTAAATGATCTTATTGAAATTTAATATTGTGTCTCCCATCGATCGATGGGGGGACAGCTTTACATGTTCTTCTATGGATTACTTCCTTCCTATCAAGAATACAAGAAGAGAGCTTCAGAGAGAGAAAGGAGGGAGCAACCCCCTTAATCGAAGGTTTTCCCCTACTATATATAGTTAAGTCACACTTGTCCTTTACTTGGGCCGACGCCCTCTTGCCTCCAATATGTCTCGGTCGTCCCTTTAGGCGCTGTTTCTTCCGACTCGACGGATATCGGGAAAGAGACGCAGAGTGGGCTACACTATCTTTCACTGCCCAGTCACCTAGGCGGGAGGTTGGTTAGTTCAGTCATGACAGTCAGATTCTGACCAATACAGTTAGTCCCTCCGTCTGTTGGGGTTGTTCCCTGTCGGGCTCGACAAACAGATCATGATTGCTACGAGTTCGAGCGAAATCTAACTTCTAACTTTTCATTCCTTAGTTACATTCCTTGGGTTTTTGGCGGGGGAGGGGTGAAGGGGGGTTCTTTCGATACCCATGGACCGTTGCGGCTGTTTCGGAATCGAAATGCCGTTTGGTATCAAAGCGCTATTTTGTGGTTACCGCCATTATGATACACGTTCCTGGGGAATTGTTCGTGCCCTATCGGATTTGATTGGCAACTATTGGGTTTTGTGCTCGGGGAATGTATGTCTCTTATAAATAGAGGGAGTTTATCATTCAATTTACACATATCTTTACCTTTTACTCGAGAGAATTCTGCAGATATTCCTTCTTTCTTACCCTCCAAGTTTTCCCTTACCCTTAGTTAACTGAAAATCTCCCTCCTTTCTTTACGTTATCTTTCTGTCGCCTCATCTAGGCAAAAATGGCTGGTGATTCCCCTCGCACCGATCTTCCTGCCATAGTTCCGGCACTGGAAAGTGCTGCTCAGGCCACTGGAGGGATAGATGTGGTGGAAGATGAGGAGGTCCCGTCGGTCGTTGAGATCCTGCCTCGCCCTGGGAGGGAGTTGACCGACTTCGGTACTCGTGCCGGGGTGGAACCGGAACCTGTCCACTCCATTATGAGAGAAAGGGATATTGCAAAGTTGAAAGAAAGGTAGGGAATCCCTAATTACGTTGATATGCGACCGACGGTGGGGAACAACATAATTCATTTCGACCGCCCCGGGTACTGCGTGTTCTACGCCTACCCCTTTCTTATTGGGTATACATTTCCTCTTCCTTTGTTGGTGGTGGATTTTTTCCATTTTTATGAGGTATGCCCCGTCCAACTTTTGCCATATTTGTACAAGTTATTCCTTATACTTCTTAAGTACGGGGAACTCGCCGGTCTTGAGGTCACTTTGGGCCATATGCTCACCATTTTCGCCCCTCAACTTATTCGTGGTACGATGATCCATATGCTCCCTCGGGGGTCGAAGAGTCTGGTGGTGAAGATGGACGATAGGACTAACCGTCGTTTCTACGAGAACTATTTTTATGTACGGACTGAGCACATTGTGGCGGACCCAACGGGATTCCCTGAGAAGTGGAACTTTGCGCGTAAGTATTTGTATTTTAGTCGGTGAGACGCCCAACCATTTTTTGTTATGGTACTAAACTTTATCATGCCTTTGCAGCTGAGAAATTGCCCCCTCCGCTTGTCGAAGGTATTCGCGAATGGGTGAGTGCCATTCTTCCCCATACAGTGGGGGTTCGCATATGGTCGACCTTTTATGAAAGGTTCGGACGCAGGCCTCTTACAGGTGAGATGACGTTTCTGCTTGCTATTCTTCCTCTCTTTTTACTTAGCTCTTATGTGTCGTTTGTCGATGTTAGGGAGAGTGCGGAGAGCAAGGGATCCTACGTTAGCTTTTCGTCAGCCGACCTCGTCTATTCACCCTATCGCGGTACCCATCATCTGACCTTCGTCGAGGGCTACTTCAGTTGAGTCTACAGCCTTGGTTACTCTTGCGAGGGCTTCTCAGGCCGAAGTCCCGACCTGCATTGCTCGCCCAGCGGATGAATCTTTGTCTACTGGGGAAGAATAGGGGCCATCGAAGAGACGACAAATGGAGTTTGAAACTGCGTCCCCAACAGTGATTCATCTAGACGACTCTCCTACGATGGGATCTGGAGAGGGGTTGTCGTGGCTCCCCCGTAGGGATGGAACCAGCCATTGCCTCGGCTTAATCAGAGATTCCCACCATTGTCAGTGGTCAGCAACCTGTCATGGCAGAAGATCAGACTTCTAGGGCCGAT